TTCCTTTTATTTCTTTTTACTTTGTACAGAAACCTGTGCCACTTATTAGGCTCTCTCTTTCCATCCCCCCTCCCCCAACCCCCCCAGAGATGGGGTTGCATGACCTAAAAGAACTATTTCGTTTCTAACAGTGCCTACCAGGTGAGGAGTAAGGTCAGAGCCATTGCCCACTTAGGTGGGCCGCTCTGATTCCATCCTGCAACTTTCTGTGCACCAAGGGCATGCCGTCAGGCCTCCAGCTCTTTAGCCCTGGGTTTTCTCATCATCATGCAGCACAGCCTGTGTCTCAGCAGCCACGTCCTCTGTGCGTGTGGCCCAGTTCACATTCAAGATTCTCAGGAAAATCACCCCAGTGGGGATATATTTTAGCACTGCTGCCAGTTTGGAATGCTCTTCCCAGCACTGCGGATCAGCGCAGACTGCTCATTCTGTAGCAGGGGCATGTGTCTCCCCCTGCTCAGCTTTATTTAGCACCACTGTCGTCCCTTCATTGTGCAGACAAGCAAGCCAGGCCTTAGTCTGTGTTGCTGCTCAGCTTCCTCCTGTTGCCCCCGCACTGAGCTCCTGGAGAGCATGCCTCGCTGTAACACTTCCTTCCCACAGGGCCCAGTTTGCCCCATTTTCCCTTCTAAAGGGGCTGCCATCACCTTTTCTAGTTCACCCTCCCCCTTAGGACTCATGAAAATCTATAAGCTGGTAATGAGGAGGGACAGAACTGAATTTCAAGCTGCCTCATCATCACCTGTCTCCCCCTTCAGTGCACCACTGTAGGGCTTCTGCCATCTTTGGGCATGGCTACTGGGGCCATCCTAACTCCACCAAGTGAATTACCACTGACCCCTGGGAGCACCCCTCCAGAAATCCATGAAATCAGGACTTTGTGGGACACTAACTTGTAGAAGATGCTTGGTCACAAATAACACTCATAGTGCCAATAGCAGCAGAGTTTATTAGTGGAGGCGATTTACAAGCGGAGAAGTAACCGTACACCGGAGCTCCCAGCTCCCGTAATGGCTCCAAAGGACTTGGATGTGTGACAAGATCACTGTCAGAGATGAAACACTCTACCCCACGCTTTGCTCTGTGTTTGTGAGTTAGTGTGAGAAGGGGTAGAAAGCACTTAGTTTCTCTAGGTTACAGCGAATATATCAAGGGACTGCTAGGTCTAGAAACAGTGCTACAGGTTATGCATACCAAGAGTCTAAGCCTGCACACCGAGGACCCAGGGGACAATGTTGACATTAGCTGGCTAACCCTGCTAGCCATCCGCTGGCCCTTACAAAAGTGGGAAGTGGGAGGAAAGCCCCCATTATCACTCAGCTCAAACCAAGGATTTGTTCCCCTAAATTAACTAGCTTTTTTTTTTTTTAAAAAAAAAAAACAATTTGGGGTATATTAGATTATAGATAAGTTACTCAGTGTTGGAAGGAAAATGAAACAAGTTCATTGTTAATTATATGTATTATACTGTGATGTGAATGTTACTTTTCCATTTTGTATTAGAATATGGTTGCAGTATTTGGCCTGTAAGTATAAAACCTAATTCCTCTTATGGCTACATGGGAGAATCTTAGCTACAGGGTGAAGGTATTATGGTATCAATCATCTTTTAAACAATTCCTAGATCAGACTGGGAAGGATAAAATCAATTCTAGATGGACAGCTGATAAGAATCTGCTTCCTTTAGTCTTCTCCACATTAAAAGCAATGTGTCTCTTAGGAGCTGGGTGATAGCACTGTGACAGTTCAGGAACTATGAACGTACCCCGAGGTGGTGATGTACTGAATGGGTAAGGGCCTTTGAGCCCTGGGAGGAAGCCATTAAACTGATCTGTATTGCTAATTCTATTATTTTGTCAGTTCAGGGTCAGTTTTTATTAATTTATTTTTTAAATTGTGTGTCATGTTTTCGTTAATTGATTTTTCTAATTATGTGTTGTGTTTTTCTGTGTCTTTGTATGCCTTCTAATTTTGATTAGATGCCAGACATTGTGAATTTTACCTTATTGGGTACTGGATATTTTTGAAGTCCTATAAATGTTTTTGAGCTTTGTTTAACTGAAACACAGTTAAGCTACTTGGGAAAAGTTTGATCCTTTCAGATGTTGCTTTTTAAATTGTTAAGCAGGACTAGAACCCTGCTCACTCAGTCTAGGGCTAATTATCCTCTAACTGCTGAAGCTGATCCTTCTGAGTTCTCTTCCAAATGCTTATGAATCTTGAGGTTTCCCAGTCTGGTTGGAAGGAACAGTACTATTCCCAGCCTGTGTGAGCACCTGCCACCGTGAGTCACCTCTAATCCTTTCAGGTGGTTTTTCCCCTGGTCTTAGGTAGGTTCCTCACACATATGCGCTGATCATTATTCATTTGAATACTCAAGGGATCTCTCGAGCTCTCTCTCCATGCAGCTCTCTCCTCTCTAGCACTCTCCTGAGCACTCCAGCCACTGTGGTACCCCATGGACTCTCAGTTGCATCTCATTTCAGGGAGTCTACCAGGCTCCCGCTGGATTCCTCCTCCCTGAGCTGTAACCTAGAAACTATCCCAAGGCAATAAGCTGGGGCAATCATAGGACATAACTGCATTTGTTTTCTGTCCTTGTTACCTTATATCCAGTTTCTCGCTGTTGTTTCATATATTTTGTCTTTTTTGGTTATTTCATGGAAGAGGGTAAATCTAGTCCCTGTTATTCCATGTTGGCTAGAAGCATAAGTCTGAGGTATAGGATTTTAATTTGGGGTAGAAACTAATGTCAAGAGAAGCATGTGAGAGCTTACTTCAAACATTAATAGAGGATTGGTAAAATAAAGTATGTAGAATATTATGCAGCTGATGGAGAAAAGGGGAGGACATTTATATGTTTTGCCATAGAAAGCCATCTTATGTGTATAGTGAAAGTATTAAATTCATCCTTTTGTTTCATTGAGCCTCTATTTTGTAGCAGCCACCATGTTAGGCATTTGGGATCCACTAATAAGCAAAATAGACATTGCTCCTCCTTTACCAATGCTTGTTGATTTAAATTCTAGTGTGTGTGGGGAGGATAGAATAGGAAATAAACCAATAAACAGGCTATGTGTGTGATAGTAAATTCTGTAACAGAAATACATAGAACGACTTCCGAAGGCGAATGGGATGGGGAACCTACTTTAGATAAGGTGATCAGAGAAAACCTGTGAGGAAATGACGATCTGAAACATAAAGCACAAGGAGCCAGTCAACAAAACAGTATCCCAGGCGAGTGGACAGCAAGTGCAGAGTCCCCGAGAGAGAGAGAACAGCATGTTGACGAAGCTGGAAAAAGGGAAGGAAGGAAGAGCAAGGTTAGCAAGGACACGAGTGGTCGGAGGCTGTGTAGGTTTTCAGGAGCCACGTCCTGCAGGGTCGTAGCCTCGCTTAGGAGTTTGGATTTTATTCTAAGTTGCAGAAAGTGAATAGTATTCCATTTATGTAATAGCGCAAAATGATAGTCATATATATGCATATAATATTTCTCGAAGGATATACAGACATTATTAAACCATGGCTACCTTTAAAGGGTAGAAATAGGGACTGAGAGAGTAAGGCAGAAAAGATTTACTTTATACCTCTCATTTCCAAATATTTTACCTTGAACGTGTATTACTATCGAATTGAATAAAGTAGTAGATTTGTATTTTTAAAAGAGTTCATATAGGGTCGGCGAGTGGTGCGTTTGTTGGGAGTTGGCTTGGGACGCTGGCTCTGAGCAGCAGGGCCCTGGTTCAGATCCCACATTAGGGCCAGTGATGCTTCACCCTCTGCAGCTGAGATGGTGGACGGCAGCTGGACCTGGAGCTGGGCTGCCATGGGTCACCATGGGCGGCCGTCCAGTGGCCAGTGGGCAGCTGCCTCACCCAGGAAGTGCACAGTGATGATGCCAACATGGGCCAGTGAGGCAACGTCTTCCACAACTAGACTGAAGAACAAAAGGACAGCAACTTGTCTGTTCCCATTCCCCGATTCCCCAATAAAATCTTAAAAAAAAAAAAGAGTTCATATAAATTATTTTTAAAACAATGGTCAAAAATATGAACCAAAGTTCACAGAGGAGAAATACCAATAAACATATGAAATAAGACGTTCAGCCTTACGACTGGTCAGAAAAAAATACTATTTAGATTTTCACCTCCCAGATATTGGCAAAGACAAAAAATAACCTGTAGTATTCAGTTTCATTGAGGTTGTAGGCAATTAGATGTTCTTGTGTGTGTACTTCTTGTATGAATGTATATTGATTTGGACTTTCCAGAGTGCAGTTTGACAATATATTTCAAAAACTCTGAAAAGTATATATATATATATATATATATATATATATATATATATATATATATAGCTTAGGACTCAATAAGTTTTTTTCCCAGAAATTTATCATGAGGAAGTAAATCAGAAAAAGACTAAATGTCCAAAGATAGAGATACAAGATCATTCATCATTTACAGCATTGTTTAATGAATAACTGGGACCTATTAACAGGCATCAATAGAAAATTGATTATTTAAATTATGATATATTCTATTGATTACTCCGTAGCTGTTAACAATTATGGTGTAGTTATATATTTATTGGCACATCAAGATCATTACATAGCACTGTTCAGTCAAACATGAAGGTTAGAATATTATGTCTATAACACGATTGCCTTTTTAAAATGTATAGGTTTAAGTGTGTATTGTGTGTATATAGAGAAACCCTGGAAGGATTTATACAAAAATGTTAATGGTAATTTTTGCTGTGTATTAGAGCTTTTAACATTTTTTATATTTTAATTTTTTGTAATCATTAATTACAAAATTACATTAATTTTCCATTGACCAAAAAATCTAGCCTATAAAACAGGAAGAAATGGAAAGTATTAATTATCTAGCAAAGTTTGTTAAATATTAATACATATAACTTGACAAATAGTACTAAATATAATTATAATATTGGTTTAATCTGGAATAACTGGTCTTCATAATACTTTTCAATTTTTGTAGGACTAGAAGAAATTGCAAAAGAAAGAGAAAAACTAAAAAAGGCAGAAAGTATCCAGATTAAAGAGGAAATCTTTGAGACTTCTGAGGACACTTTAAATTGTTCAAACCCACATCACTGTGAACAAAAGGAAGATCCTAAAGAAAAAGATAACACAAATCTGTTTCTGCAGAAACCTGGCTCTTTTTCAAAATTAAGCAAGCTGTTAGAAGTAGCTAAGATGCCTCCTGAGTCAGATGTAATGGCCCCAAAGTCAAGTAGTAGTGCCAATGGCTGCACGTTGTCTTACCAGAACAGTGGAAAGCATTCGCTAGGCAGCATTCAACCAACGGCAGCGCAGAGCAACATGGAAAAGACAGACTCGAATAACCTATTCAATCCCGGTTCAGGCGGCCCCGGGAAGTTCTACAGCCCTCTCCCCAGCGACCAGTTGTTAAAAACTCTGACTGAAAAGAACAGGCAGTGGTTTAGCCTTTTGCCAAGAACACCTTGTGATGACACTTCCCTTACCCATGCTGATACGTCAGCGGCTTCTTCAGTGACTCCTCAGTCTCAGTCTCAGCCACCATCTAAGTCCCCTTCGCCCGCCCCAGCTCCTCTTCTTGGACCATCTGCTCCGAATCCTGTTGGCCTAAATCCATTTGCTTTGTCACCTCTTCAGGTCAGTAATTCATTTTAATTTTGCTTTATTTGATCTTTACCACCATGAAGATTTTCACTCAAGGGGAATCAGTTGAATATTTACAAGTATAATATTAATACTATCCCTGCTACAGTTTGAACACTGAAGAGAGTCAGAACTGCTATCACCCAGCATCATCAGAACTCCTGATTTCTAGTTTAAGTCTAGGCAAAGACTACTTGAATTACTTCTTAACCTCTTACTACTACTTCAGCATATCTAAACGAAAATTACACTGGGGAGCAAATAAGAACATGGAATTTGACATTATGGCTGTTATATTTAATTTTCTTGTAATTCTGATAAGTGAGAGAATATTTTTTCCAGAGTTTTAAAAATAATTTTAGATTCTAAACATTTTCCCAAACTTCTTAGATTGTTCTACTTCTAAATTGTTTTGTTTCTTGCAGATGAAAAGCGGAGTATCTATGATGGGACTCCAGTTTTGTGGGTGGCCCACTGGCATGCTGACTTCCAATATTCCATTTACATCACCTTTACCTAGTCTGGGATCAGGGTTGGGCTTATCAGAAGGAAACGGTAATTCATTTTTGACTCCCAATGTTGCTTCAAGTAAAAGTGAATCTCCAGTACCACAGAATGAAAAGGTCTCTTCAACTCAACCTGCAGCTGTTGAAGTAGCAAAGCCAGTAGATTTTCCTAGTCCGAAACCTATTCCAGAAGGTAGGTACATTCAGATGGTAATGATATTGACTGTATTTCACTGTTACAGATTCCTGTATTTGAATCTTTGGTAGTTTTATATATATTATAAATGTTTTGATTGGCATTGTACCATTACTTCATATTCAAAATATTTGTAAAAAGTCTGTGTATTTATCTTGATTTAGAAATGCAGTTTGGTTGGTGGAGAATTATTGACCCTGAGGACCTAAAAGCTTTGCTCAAAGTGCTACATCTCAGAGGAATAAGGGAAAAGGCATTACAAAAACAAATTCAGAAACACTTGGATTACATTACTCAAGCCTGCATCAAGAATAAGGATGGTATGTACCTAAAAGAGAGTTCTACTGTCTTGCTTAGTCACAAGAATTAATTTTCTTATCTTAAAACATATTTTAGTATGTCTTAATTCTTAGTTTATTACTAATAGGCATTTTTTTCTATTTTTCTCAACCAACAGTAACTATTTACATTTCTTAAATTGGTATTAGCTTCTTAGAATTTTTACAACCTGCAGACATATTGTTTTGTTTCTCAAAGAGAATATTCCTCCTTTTTCAAGAATAAGCTGCATGCAATTTGCACAAGTACATTTGTGTGTATTAAGTTATATGTACATGTTACCACTGGGATTTTATGCACCTTCTGGAAGAAATCATTGGAGGATAAAGTGGATTTTAAAAATAATTTCTTTTCAAATGTAGTTGCTATTATTGAATTAAATGAAAATGAAGAAAACCAGGTGACTCGAGATATTGTGGAGAACTGGTCAGTGGAAGAACAAGCGATGGAAATGGACCTGAGTATTCTTCAACAGGTAGAAGATCTAGAAAGGAGAGTTGCATCAGCAAGTTTGCAAGTGAAGGTAAAATTGACTTGGAATAAAATCTGTCTTTAGGATAATGGGAGATAGCTTATATTTATTATGTGCCTGATATGTGCCAGTTACTGTGCTCAGTGTTTTCACTTTACCTCATTGAATTCTCAAAATGATCCTGAATCAATTGCCCCCACCTTACAGGTAAGGAACCAGGCTCAGAGTAACTAACCTGCCAATGGTCATGTAGTAAGTACTAGCTAGATGTGAATTCAAACCTGTCTGACTCCAGAGCCTGTATTCTTTTTACTAAATCTTGCTGCCTCCTTAATGGTATTCAGAAATATTTTTGGTATGTAATTGTTTACCACAAGCAGAAGAATATCACAGTATTTCCCATGATAAATAATGCTCTATCAAAGCCCTACTGTAGTGTTTTATAGAGGACCAGGAATCCCCGAATATACAAGCCATGTTTTAAGTCAGATTTTCACTCTATATAATCTAAAATTGGAGACCATAGATATAGCCAAATATATATTATGTTACACACACACACACCCTACATATATATGTAAAGTGTTAATTAAATAATTTATTTACTAAGCATTACCATGTCACAAGCAATGAACAGAACTGGCTTCCAATGGACAGGCAAAAAGTAACTTTACCTTTCTCCAAGAATTTTTAGTTTCATAAAGAGGAGTGTCAAGGTCTTTCTTAATTGATAATATGGTGATGTCTCTGAGAATTAATGGCGGGATGATGAATAAGGGTGAGGCAGATACATGAGATGGTTTAGAAAATATAGTCACCATGTAATTTGATTTGATATTTCATATTTTATTCAGAATGAGAAAAAATGTCATCATGCTATCATATCTAATGATTAAAACTCTGCTGCATAATTACTTTAATGCTGGCATTTGGAAACTTTTGAGCAGCTCCAAAAAACGTTGTGTTCCACAGCAATAAAATATTCCTTTCTTGCCGGAAACATAATTACCAACTTTGGGAAGCAAAAATTTATCATTTGCTGAAGCTGCTAGCAAACTATATGTGTCCTCCTCCTGCTACTACGATACAGTATTTCAAAAATGCCTCATTTATCTGGCATCGTCAGCAAATGAAGTCTTCCACACAAGTTAATTTTCTGGAGAAATGAAAATTATTCCATTCAGTGCCATAATTTTTAAATGTTTGTTGGATCGCTTATGTTATATATTATACTGTCTTCTTAAATTGAGAATAATGAGTTTGATTTAAATGATCTTGGTGACACAGGACATCAGCATGAAGACCAATTTTTAGATAATAATTTCCTCAGCAAAGAGGTTTTGCCCCTACATTCAATGATCCTATGTGCTTTGCTTTTTAAACTACTTCATCTGCTTTCTGTAGCCTGTCTTTGTCCTCGCTCATGGTCAGTCGCTGCTACTTACTTGCTGGTTTTAATTTGATTAGTTCTACTCACCATATTTTCTTCCAACTTCCTCCATCTAATTTTCCAGTTCTAATTGGCTGTTGGTTGGCAATGCATATCATCAAGCTTCTTTAAGTTATGTATAAAACCAGGGAGGGCCTAAGATTTTCATGGAGACATATTCAAGTTTCGGTGCATCGACCTTATCACAATAGTGGCTGCTTAGATGTTCTTTGGCTGGGTTCTCGGTAGCTAAGATACTTGGAATTTGTCTTTTAAGTGGTGTGTTTTAACATCCTGTTAACAAGGCATTTTGAATTATTCTGTATTATTCTATAAATGAATTAGAATTATATTAGTCTTGAAGAATCTAAAAGCATTAGTGGTGAAAATAGCCAACAAACATTGTTTTAGCAGGTATAAAGACTTAATAATATACCTGATATTATTAAATTTTCTTTCCTTAAAAAGAAAATAGAGTTATATGTTTATCCTGAGGAACCAAGCATTGTAAAGACATATTAAGTGGTACATTCATTTTTATTTTTAATAAAAAATAGAAATTATTTTGCTAATAATTTGGAAATTCTTTTTACATTGTAGGAAATTTTTTAAGTCTCTAGTCCTAGTTCTGTTACTAAGTCTTTACACAAAGCTTAATTACCCTTCCAGCACCTCTAAAGACAGATCCTGTGTCTCTTTTTAAGTTTTCTGTTTTATAAACTCATTAATTCTTTCAACCATAAGTCCTATGAAATGGTTTCTAGGTCTATGATTCTCTTCTGAGTAAACACCAGTGTCAATATCCTTCTTAAAATGTTATACCTATAATTTTACATAGATATGTCTGAATGTGTTTGTGGAATTTTACTTTCCTTAATCCAGCACTATATGTCTATTAATGCAATTTGAATTCTCCAGCTTTTTAGTATCCACATTGAGTTCATGCTTCACCGAGTACACACTATTGGGGGGGAAAAAAAATCCCTGGGCCTCTTTCAGAATGCTTTTAAGTGAGTTGTATCACATGTAGTATTTCTGTGATTAATTACTTAAACATCAAAGCTAAAATTTACATTTATTGTTCTATTTTTATTAATTTTGTTTGGGTACATTTTTCAGCACATGGAACTAGTTTTATCTTAGTCCTGTCATACAGACTATTACACTTCCTTCCTAGTTTTAAGTCACCTACAGATTTAATGTCAATCAACCAAGTTATTAATAAGTGTATTAACAGGAAGCACCAAATACAGAGCTTTTGGACATTGACACAGATTACCTTTTCTGAGGTGACAAGCTGTCAATCACCACTCTTTGGAGATAGTTTCAACCACCTCGACTTCTCTACTCTAGTCTTCATTTTTTTAGCCATATCAGTTGCCTTACAGAAATCAAAGTATACTATGTTTATAGGATTCTGTTGATTTAGCAATTTAGTATTTCTTTTAAAATATGGGAATGAGTTTCATTTGAGATGACTTGTACTATTGCACTTATGTGTACTATTCATAATTCCATCCTTACTTTGTAAATGTTTTGCTGAATTAAAGAGGAAGACTTGATCCCAATATATAAGATAAAATAATTATCTCAAAATATTTAATAAAAAGGGTAATGTTCATTCAATATGCATTTACTAAGGACCTATTCTACATTAGACAGTGGACTCCACAATGTAAGATAAAATATGATTTCTACCCTCAGAAAGCTTGCCGTATAACAGGGAGATTAGACATATATACATCTCTGCCAACTCTAGTAACTGATTGTAGAGAGGTACGGAATCATGCATGAATTTAGAAGAAGATTAATTTCTGGTGGAGATTGGGTGAGATCAGGGAAGATTTCATCAAGTCGAGATGGAACTTGAGATGATGAGTAAACTTCTGAAAGTTAGAGAACAGGGAATGCCACGCTAGTAAGAGTGAACATCATGAGCGGAGCACCAGGATCAGGAAGCTCAGGACATGTGTGTGGAGTGACAAGACGTGGAATTTGATTGTAGTGTAAGATGCATGAATGGGAACATGACAGAAAAAGGTAGATCAAGGTACCTGCATGTCATGGTAAAAATTTGGAGTTTGTTAAACAGTAGGGAATCTATGAAGGATTTTGAGCTAAAGGAACAATATAATCAAGCTGAGTTATGAGATCATTTATTTAGATCAAATGTGTAGATTGAGTGCCTTCTATTTGATTTCACTGAGTTGGAGATAAAGGGAGTAAAAGCAGACGTGGTCCCAGCCCTCATGGAATTTAGAGGTAGAAAGATGTTAAATAGAGTAGTATCAAATTGTGACTATCACAAGACTATGAAGTATTTATTATGTAGGCCTATGAGAGCCTGTAATAGGGAGATTTACCCCCAAATGGAGTCAGGGAAGGATTTCCTGAGGATGTAAATTTTAACATGAGAGCTGCAGGGTGAGTGGAGTTAACTAGGTGAAGAGGAACAGGGAAATGACAAACTTAACAGCTTATGCAAAGCTCTTGCGGTCAAAGGAAGAACAGTGAGTACAAGGACGTGTGAAAAAGAGTGGTGGAAGGAATGAAAATGGAAAGGAAAAGCAAAGTTCAGAGACTACCCAGTGATTTCCATTTAAGTAGTCCTGTGAAATTAATAAGCATTTGGTCTTCAGAATACTTTGCTGATATTCATTATAGCTTTCATAATATCAAAAGTTATTACATTTTCTTACAACTTATTTTAATTTTCTGTTCTTATTTCTACCTACCACCATTAGGACACATAAGCTAAAAACTTTTTAGTAAAGATCCTTGAGATCTGCTGGTGTCTGCTGCTGTATTTTAACTAAAGGTAATTCACCCATCAGGCATTTTAAGAGGAAACCATAATAACATTATTCTCTTGATATATAGGGTTGGATGTGTCCAGAGCCTGCATCAGAAAGGGAGGACTTGGTATATTTTGAACATAAGTCATTCTCTAAATTATGCAAGGAGCATGATGGAGAGTTTACTGGCGACGAAGAAAGCAGTGCTCAGGCACTAGAGCGGAAGAGTGACAACCCCCTAGATATAGCTGTAACGAGGCTGGCTGATTTGGAGCGGAACATTGAAAGAAGGTATCTGAAGAGCCCCTTAAGTACCACCATTCAGATCAAACTGGATAATGTGGGCACAGTTACTGTCCCTGCTCCTGCACCATCCGTTAGTGGTGATGGTGACGGGTAGGTTATTGAGATTAACTTGAAAAATTATTGTGCTTCTTTGCTAATTGGAGCCTATTTTCTATTGCCTGTTATCTATGTATCTTCCTGTATGTCTGTGATCCATATGGATCATGCTATCTGCATGGTGCTTTGTAAAAACTTTTTTTTGTTTTTTTGTTTTTTTGTTTTGTTATGTGCATTGATAATCCTGCAAAGTGATCTGACATTTATCTGGTCGTGACTAAGCTTTGAGGCACGTAGCCGCAGTCTGTGCACTACATCAAATTTAGTTGCTTAAACCTTATACTTATTGGCTGTTACATGTTTTTTGTCATTGCTTGGCTTTCAGTGTGATGATTGTTTCACATTCAGTAACCATAAATGTGGACGTGACCTACTTAATTTTTCTATATTTCAATGCAGAATTGAAGAGGATATTGCTCCAGGGCTCAGGGTATGGAGAAGGGCATTATCAGAAGCTCGCAGTGCTGCACAGGTAGCTCTGTGCGTTCAGCAGTTACAGAAATCAATAGCATGGGAAAAATCAATTATGAAAGTTGTAAGTGTTTTTATTTAAGAAATACTCTAACTACTTTACTTTGTCCTGTTTTTTTTTCCAACCTCTAGGTCTTTCTTAATTATACATTACTTATTGTCAAAATAACGTGTGCTATACTTGAGAAATTGCTTATTCTTAAATACTGTATACTTTGATACTGTCTTCCTCATTTTGAGCTTTTTGAAGGAATCAACACAATGTGTTATCTTTTATTTTTTTTTAAATCTTGATCCTCCCTCCTTTGAATATTGTTTATAACTTTGAAGTTATCCACTACATTCTGTCAACATAATGGTTGTTCATTTAAATATTTTGAAGGCCCCTTCACTCTTGTAAACACTCCATTTGCTACATACATTCACTGCGTTCCTAAAATGTCTTTATATTTCTATCAATTTTCATTTTTTTAATCCTAAGAAATATTTAGATAAGTAAATACAAAATAAGCAGAGAACTCTTACTTTATGCACTGATAATCAGGTATTTGGCTTCTGATGTAGATGACATGAAGAGTAGATCTTCTTTTTTCCTTTGCTCTAATTAAAACTTGTTTTTCACCTTTGTTCAAGCCCAATTAGCTATTATCATGTAGTGGCGTCTACTTTGTACCAGGCACCAAATGCTATGTGTTAAAATAAAAAAGCTGTATTATACTTCCCAGAGAGATATTTATCTTAAACCATGTGCGTGTCCCTCTTCTTTCTTATATATCATATATAGAAATATCTATTATATGTAGGCTTTTATCAATTACTTTAACGTTTGCTTTTGAATTACAGATTAGCTTTAAATTCAAATTTATGAGATTGGTTTCATGAATGATAAGGGTAAAATTCCTTTACTTAAAATAGTTGTTCCCCAAAGAAGCGCTTCTTAAATAATTTAGCATTCTTTTCTTTGTTTTTGCCTCTATGACTACTCAAGGCCTCATTCGTTCTGTACAAATAAGTTTGGTTTCTTCTGTGGTTTTTCACTTCTTCCTAAAATGTCCATGGAATAATGAATCTGCAGTTTTCACAATATGATCAAATTTAAGCCTTTCCCAATACAGATTAGAATTTGCCATAAGTTTGAAGGCATTGTTGAGTTCATCCGGTAGCATTTTTACCGGGTAAAAATAATTTTTCTTCTAAAAATTAGTATTAAAACCAGTTTCAAAGTCACCACTCAAATATATTTGGTGAAATCTGGGCTATAATGATCAAAAAAGGTTGAATTCCTACATCAAAATGAAATTTGTACACTTATTTTTTCACCACGATATGGACAGTTTTGTTACAACCTATACACAGAAACCCTAAACTTGTACCAAACTGTGCCTTCTATTAGTATACTTACTTTCTGCTATCCAAAGCTTTATTTCAGTTTTTGCAAATTCATGAACCTTTTCCATGTTATTCACATACACTTATCATTATTTAACTCCAAAAAAATTTATCATTTTTTTATGCTTAACAATACATTCATTATTTGCTGTGAAATTACCTTAAAAACTCTCTTATTCAAAGATTAATGAGCACTTTATAACCTTTAATTAGAAATGCAACAGATTCTGTAATAATCCTGATAATAAGTCATAACAAAATATAAAAGTGCTCAGTATCCTTAGAAGTACCCTCTTGTCCAGAGATCAAGCTTACTAAGAAAGATCAAGCTGTTATAATTTGCCTCCAGATAATTCTCTGCCCACAGTGTGCTTTATATTATTGTTAATGTTAAACAGTGGGCCACTTATGCTATATTTGACTATAGAGGCAAAGGAATTAAAACCAAATATTAATACAGTTGTTCTAACATATTGTGAGCTATTACTGTGGTTTTTCAAAAGTGTTATGAGCTCGATTATATGTCACCCTTTCTTAATAAGTATCAAAAAATAATTTTTAAATCATAAATGTGAGGTGTAAGACAGACTTTATAATAGTTTTAGTTATCGATTGTAGAAAACAGTGAGAATTTACTTAATGTTCATAAATCTGATTTTTAAATGTTGTTATAAGGATTTAAATATAACCATCAAAATGTTATTTCTCAAAGAATATTTTTACAATAAAAGTTTTAAAGATGTAACTCAAACTTGGAGAAATAGCACTGTACTAAGGTATTTAACGATGTGGTATTAAGCAAAGTCATGAAATAAATATTAACTCTTGGAACATTAAACTCTGCTCGTTTTGCTCCTAGTACTCATGTCAATTTTAGTATTATATATTTCATATAATTGATAGATATTTGTTAAATTGAGTAACATATATCTGCCATATTGATAAGATTCTTAAGCTATCATGGGTGTGCATACTGTGTTTATAAAACTATTTTAGACTTTCCTAGATTGATTAATTGTATTAAAAATAAAAATGAAATTTGAACAGTTAAGCTATTTTGTTTTTAAGAGACTATAAATACAAACTGTAAATTAGTATAAATGACTTACAGTTTAAATATTTTCATTTTTAAATATACTGATTGCAGGCCATTTTTTACTATGACTAGGAGTAAATGTCAATTTACTAATAAACTAAATGTCAATATATAGTGTTAGTACTTACCATTTTTTAAAGCCATATTGAAAGTTTTTTCTTATCTAACTTTTCTTCTTTTTCTTTGTGAAACTTGTACAGAATATGCATGCATGGGAAAAAAATCTCTTTACTGATTTTAAAGTTCTTAATGGTATTAGAAATTTTTTAACAGAAAAGAAATAATTTCATTTTTAGTTATTGAAAATAAATCATGACCTCTTAAATTCTTTGATTTAATTTATTGTATCAATTTATTTTCCTTAGCAATCATTTTGTAGGATCCATTTTCTACACTTGTGACACATGTTTGATTTGGGTTGATTTTCAAAGATTCCTAGTTCAGACACATTTGTTAATCACACACAAAAAAATAGATGGATTATTTAGTGAAAAATATAGGGACATATTTTTATTAGTATGTATATGATATATAATTCTGATACTAATACTAACTCCTAATTTTGATCTTAAAAGTTAACTCTTACTTATTTTTTTCTCAGGATATCATGAGGATGCTAAGATAAGCAAAAAATGAAATATATTAAAAAATTGGAACACCATGTATTAAAGCTATTCATTGCTTTATGTGCTCTAATGTCATGTTAATTATTTCATATGTTAATGTGTACATGCTTCTGAAGTGTGTGCAGGCATCAACCTCTAGCTTTGTTCTCTGCAGTGTACCTGAAATGTGCATTTACCCCAATGGAACTGCTCACCCCGTCATGTGGTCCATATCTGTGTAACGAGATACATAGATGTGTATGGCTACTGTATTTTTGTTAGCAAGCGGAATGTTCATTACTAATATAAACTAGGAAGTATGGTGTGTTTGATATCCCGATAAATGTTATTCACAGCAGTGTTAATTTTAAATGATTTTTCATGTATTATAGTACTGCCAGATCTGTCGCAAGGGAGATAATGAAGAACTGCTCCTCCTTTGTGACGGCTGTGACAAAGGCTGTCATACATACTGCCATAGACCCAGGATCACTACTATACCAGAGGGCGACTGGTTCTGTCCTGCTTGCATCGCTAAGGTAAAGCTGATCTAAAATGAAGCTTGCTTTTTAAATTGAGGTACAGTGGTTAATAACATACATTGTAGGGGTATAGAATTATGATTCGATATCTGTATGCACCGTAGCGTGCTCACCACCAAAAGCCTAATTTCCATCTGTCACCATGTATTTGACTCCTTTTACCCATTTCTCATGGGCCGCACCCCTCTTCCCCTTTGGTAACTACCAATATGGTGTCTGTATGTATGAGTTTATGTAAATTGCAGAGTTATGGGAATTTTTTGAGCTATAATTCATATACCATAAAACTCACCTTTTTAGAGTATACAGTTCAGTGGTTTTTAAAAATATACTCACAAACATCACTTCTGTTTAATCCCAGAATATTTTCACGACCCCAAAAAAGTATCCTTGTACCTATTACCAGTCATTCCTCATTCTGCTGGTTTTCTCAGTCTTTGGCAACCACTAATCTGCTTTCTGTCTTTGTGGATTTGCCTATTCTGGTCATTACATTTAAGTTAAATCATACAATAATGCAGCCTTTGGGTCTGACTTCTTTCACTTAGCACAATACTGTCAAGGTTCATCCATGTTTTAGTATGTATCGATATTTTCTTTTTATACTCAAATGGATAGACCACATTTTGTTTAATCATTAATCAGTTGATAGACATATGTTGTTGTTTTTTACGTATTTAGCTATTACAAATAATGCTATGAATATTCACACATAAGTTTTTGTATGAATATATATGTTTTGACTTCTCTTGGGTATATATCTAGAAGTAGAATTGCTGGGTCATGTGCATTTTAAGTCTCTTTCCAGTCACATTTAAATGAGAAACCTTTGAACTCTCATACAGTAAGGAGTAAAACGTATGAAAGGTTCAGCATGTATCGAGGGCCAGACTCTGCTAGGCGTTCCGTCCCTCAGTCCCTCTCTTTCATGTTTAGTGTCTTGACCTAATAGTTACCAGTAACTACTGCTTCTTCATAAACTCAGTTCTAAACATCCATCTGTCCACTGTCTTTCTAGTCCACACTCTCTAACACTTCAACTCCAACAATTCTTTGATTGCACCAGAACCTCCAATTAATTTATCTTAAGACCTTTTCACTGTCACCCTCCCTCTTCACATCCTCTCTTTCCTCCTCACCTAGCCTATAATGTGTCAGCATCCCATTATCAGAATCACTGCATCCACCTTTGGCTCTTTTGCCTCTCCTTCTCACTTGGTCAAAGCATTATTCCGGCTAATCCAACTCTCAGGCTTCTCCAGCACCTGTACCTTTTATATCTGAACGTGACTGGTAAAAACTCAAGGCCCTTTAAATTCAAGGCCTTGAGAGGGCCTTTCATGGTGCCTGATGGTTTACCTCCTGCTCTGTCTCCATTCTCGTTCTCATTTGATGACCTTACTGCCATTTCACTATGAAAATGGAAGCCATCAGAAGAAAATATCACAAGAGTCTTCACCACATCTACCATCCGTCCTGTATCTGGGCTCACGTACTCTACCTTCTCTCCCACTGCCATGAATTGCTGGTGCCCGTAACAAGCCAATTCCCAATTTGTGCCTCAGACCCCATGCCCTCTCACCTCCTTAGGGGTATGACCCCAGCAGCTGTCTCTTCTCCTGCATCATCAGTTTCTCCTCCACTGTTTCTTGTCATCAGCCTACTCACATGCTACCATTTATTCTACCTTAAGAAAACTAAACAAAAACACTCTTTTGGCCTCACTTCTTCCTTAATCTACTTGCCCCTTTTCTCTCCTTCCCTTTGCAGGAAAACTCTTAGAAATGTTTTTGTTGTGGTTCCGTCTGATCTCTCTCCTTCGATTCAATCTTGAACTCACTCCAGTCAGATTCTCACCTTACAGTGACTTTGCATATCACTCTTCTGTGATCTATTATATTTATTATAACATTTAACTCAAAATTCAGACTTATTTTCTAAATTGGGTGAGAAGGGACTCTTTGTTATATCAATGTGCTGCCTGCAAGCTGTGGCTAGATTGCATAAGGTCACACTGAAGTGTTTTTTGTTTTGTTTTGTTTATGTAGTTTTAGAGCTTGAATGACCTGGACAATTCTGTTGCTTATTTTATACATGAGAAAAACAGGGCCTCATAGATATTTTTGTACAAAGTTACATACCTAGCCACTGGCAAAGTCATAGCCGAAATTCATATCCTTTGATTCCAAATATAATTTCTTTTATATTATTTCTTTATCTTCCTCAAAACAGATTTTTCTTTTTTTCTCCCATCCTTTACCACTGCTTTGTTCACACCTGGCAACCACAAGTTTGTGGAATTTTCTTCTTATAGCCAATGCTTTTTTTAAAATATATAGACAGAAAAAAAATCAATTTCTAGTATTATTTGATCTTACAAAAGACTTTTCTCTGTTTGATACTTCATAAGCTATTTTTCATGTTTTGGCCTAGCTTTTTAAATTTCTTCTTCAATTTTCTTATTAATAATAAGCTCTATATTTTTGTTTATATTCACCTTTCTTCTTATATTGTGCTCTAAACGACAGTCCTTTTGTATCTTTAAATTCATTTTAGTGACTCACACTAAAAGAATACCACTAAGTTCTGTAGTACCAAAGATGAATAACCATGAGATCAGCTTCTTCAAGTTTTAAGAATTCTTAAGTTAAATTTTTTGTGCTTTATTAGGTATTCGCCTAATATGGGAGAAAAAATTCATAGATCTCTCTTGAAAATAATAAAATTATCAACTTTCTGGATCAGAGATAGTGTTTCTTGTTTGTCCTGTCAGAGTTTCATAATTAAATATAATATAAAGTCTATAAATAGTTATTTTCTTGGACCTCATTTACTTTTTTTTTTTTTAATAAAGGCAAGCGGTCAAACTCTAAAATTCAAAAAACTTCATGTCAAAGGAAAAAAGTCTAATGATTCAAAGAAAGGAAAGAAAGTAACTTTAACAGGGGATACTGAAGATGAAGACTCTGCATCTACAAGTAGCCCACTAAAAAGAGGAAACAAAGACCTGAAAAAAAGAAAAATGGAGGAAAATACTTCTGTTAACTTGTCAAAACAAGAAAGTTTTACTTCTGTTAAGAAACCTAAAAGAGATGATTCCAAGGACCAAGCTCTCTGCAGGTATTATTTTACATTTTATGTACTATATATTCATAATATCCCATGTTGTCTGTTTAGAAACCTTTGACCATATTAAAGGCGACTTTTTGACAATTTGTGGACATAGGAAAATGTAAAGTCTATAGTATAAGTAAATGTATTCTTTTATCTTTTTAGTAAATTAATTTGCATTATTTTTACTTGAAATGTTATGAAAGCTAAATTTTTAATAAAAATAATAACTCTAAAGCATAGATATTGATTTTAAACATTATTTTCTTTAGTATGATCCTTACTGAAATGGAAACTCACGAGGATGCATGGCCTTTTCTACTTCCTGTAAACTTGAAACTTGTTCCTGGTTATAAGAAAGTTATTAAGAAGCCTATGGATTTTTCCACAATTAGAGAGAAATTAAGTAGTGGACAGTAAGTAAATCATTTCAGTTCAATATTTATTGAATGCTTGATATGTACTGGATACTTTTCTAGTGAGCCAAAACTACATTAATTTACAGCAAAGACAGAGGACCTGTGTTTGGAGAGGGAGGGTGTGTGTGTGTGTGTGTGTGTGTGCGCGCGCATGTGCACGTGTTTGGTTAGGGCAATATAGTATGGAAGACAAGTCAATCAAAATTATTTTAAAAATTAAAAAAGAATGTTCTGAAGCTGCGTTGACATTGGAAGGGCACCAAACTCAACCTGGGAGGTAAGGAAAAGTATCAGGGAAGCCTCCTAAAGTAAGTAAGTACTGTATATCCAGGAACTTGTGTGGTGTGGTGTGCTTCAGTGGAATATTGACATCATCTCATGTGGATTTAAGAAAAATTGATTTTGTAACATTTCAGATTGTTACAAAGTAGAGATAAAAGAACACTGTAAAATTTAAATACTAAAAGCTTTATTATGAGTTGGAGAATACTAAAAATGTACAGTAAAATCTTGGATTGCGAGTAACTTGGTTTGCGAGTGTTCCGCAAGACAAGCAGACATTTCTAATACATTTTAACGTGGTAAATGAGCGAAGTCTTGCAATATGAGTAGTTTGTTTCCGGAATGAATTATACTCCCAAACCAAGGTATTACTGTATTTTTTAAATGTGGAAGAAACCTATTATTTGCTTGTCTCTATCATAGTCTCTGTGATCCTATCCGAAGAATAAAGTGTCTTCCTGGCCACAGTTCATGATCTTCGTTAGGCCACCTGATCTTTGTCAGAGAGTAGCATTGATGGAATTGAATTGGTTCTAGACACTGGCCCATCTTGGAGACACAGGATGAGGGAGTTCACTCACAGAACAAGCCTACACAAAGGCCCCCCACATGTGAATGGCCAGGAGCTGCAGAGCTTCCTCTCCTCTCCATTCTCCCCTGCTCCCTTTCTTCCTGCATCCCACTTTAGCTTTCAGTGTAGCCCGTACCCATCACTTCTGACAAAGTCACAGAAAATGACTTTGAAGGAAGTTTACATTGAAAGAATAACTGTAAAATATAGTTTAATTACATTATCATTGTTATTATCATTATTATACAGTGTATTATGTAGTTTTTCTGGGTGTTCTTTGGATGAAAATCACCGTGCTCCATAATTATTCAATTTAGAAGAGTTGAGTAGGACTTAACTCATGCTGATCAGCATCCCTCGCACATATATTAAATGATTTACTAGATTGACCACATGACTAATTTATTTCTTAGAAAGCTGAAATGTCAGTTTTTCAAAGGATTATTTCTTCTTTGTTTTATTTTTCTTAAAATCATAGAAAACATTTCTACCCATTAAAACTATTGGTTCTGATATGAACCAAACAGCCAAAGCTGCTGCCTAGATATGGACTAATTTGCTTTTTGCTTTTTCTGTCTGTCCAAGTAATCAGATATTTAGAAGGGAGCACAATGGACTTTATAATCAGCGTGGCCAGGACAAAGACTTACACAGGAAGACTTGGCCATGTTTAAATTCACTTTTGACTTTAACTGCCACGATTCTCTAATTCCTGGATAGAGGATGGACCTCAATCCCCAAATCCCCAAAACAAACAGGCTTACACATTAACACAAAATTAGCAAAAGAGCTACAAAGTCGAAGTTCCCTTTTGAGAATGAATCGTGGTCAATGGAGGGGCTCACAGTGGAAGCAGTTCTTTATAACCCTGTTTGTGATGCCAGCTGTGTGGGAGGCAAAATTCAGTGGATTCAGGCTACTCTAACTTTGAGTTGTTTGATTAAATCCAAACTTATGAGTTGGAGCCCAAACTCGCAAACAGTATTTCAGATTTTGAAACTATTGGGTTGTCGGAAAAGTCATGACACATTTTTGCAATGAAAAACATAGAAAAAGTATGTCATGACTTTTCCAACAACCCAATAGAAATGTATAGAACAGACATGAGGAAGTGCCTACTTTAATGACTCTTTCTGGCTTCCATCAGCTGCCCATCCTTCCTTAATGAAGGGCTCAGAGTGTGTATTACATTTATTTCACCTAGAATCTCACCTAGAATTCTCTCCTAGGTTCCAGTCTCCCTAGCGTTAATCATTAACCTTTTCTTATGGTAAGGAGAAGTCTAAAGAGATAAATATTTCTCAAAATAACTTTAAAATATTTTGTAAAAATTGTTCCCACACATGTTATATGATTCCATTTATGTGAAATATCTGGAATAGGTAAGTCCATAGAGACAGGAAGACAGATTGGTGCTTGCCAGGGTGTGGGAACAGCAAGGAATGGAGGGAGAGTCACTGTTTAATGGATATGGTTTTCCTTTTGGGGTGATGACAGTGTTTTGGAACTGGATAGAGGTGGTGGTGGTACAATGTTGTGAATGTGCTAAATGCCACTGAATTGTCTACCTTAGAACGGTTAATTTTATGTTATGTGAATTTCACCTTGATAAAAGATAATAATTCACAGAAGAACAGGAAAATGGATGAGGTTACATAAGGGCTGAATTACCTCTGTGAGCTCATTATGGATAAAGAAATTGTATTTCTTTTATTATAGCACATATTAGAAGGAGGGAGTGAAGACTGTATGTACAAGGTATTTCATCACAGACATAATTCCATTTTTACCTGACCTCAGAGATTCAGTGCGTGCTTCACGGATATTTGTAATGGATACATTATTTTATCATCCAGCTTATCGTACGTTAGAATTAATTTAAGTTTGAATTTCCAAAAGCCCTCTTTCAGAGTGTATTGATTTGGCTTGAGCTGGCTTGAAATGAACCACTCCTTTCTTACCAGTCGACCTGGGCAGGTTCCTTCACCCTCTGTTCTCTTCTTCATGCCCCTACAGAGAAGGAGGCTTTTCCCACCAAAAAGTACCGAAGCCACAGTGCTTCTTACTGAAAGCCAGTTCCTCATAATGTTACCTCTGGTGAAAAGATAGTACTTGCTTTTTTTGCTTGCTTTGGGTCATCATACGCCAGTGCTTGAGCAAAAGAGCGTATCTGAACAGAGATGAAGAGAAATGGGAAATGGGGAAGATTTAACACAGAATGACATATCTGGGGATGCATGTAAAAACCACAGGGCAAGTGTGATGTTTATTGTGCATAGATAGGAAGCATTTACATTATTTCTACTGCAACTAAATAGTTTTGAATGTGGATAATGGGGTTACTGCAAGTGATACAGTTGGTCAGAGGAGTTAGTAAACTAGTCAAGTAGATGAGTCCTGTAATAGAGAACTGCGATACAGGTCAACCAGGAAATCGAATGTGGGGAAAATACTATTGGGTTGTGGGAAAAGTCATGTGTAGTTTTTCTGTTTTTCATTGCAAAATGCATCATGACTTTTCTGACAACCCAATAGTTAGCTGAACTTAGCTTGAATAGTTAGCTTGATCTTCAGAGAAATCTGTTTTCCCTTTACCTGTCTTTAAATCCTGCATGGCTCAGAGCACATGCAGTTTTTTCAAATGTTCCATTTATAAGAGGGTATAATATGATTTATACCACTTTTAAATGCAGTTAATCTTTTTCTTCTTTTCAAGTTTTCCTTTTTATTTTACCCTTTATTACCTTTTCATTTGTTTACAAAACAAAGCCACCCTATAGAAGCAACCTCTAAATCATGTGTTTTCTTTTCAGGTATCCAAACCTTGAATCGTTTGCTCTAGATGTCAGGCTGGTTTTTGACAACTGTGAAACATTTAATGAAGATGATTCTGATATAGGCAGAGCTGGCCACAGTATGAGAAAGTATTTTGAAAAAAAGTGGACAGATACTTTCAAAGTGAGCTGAAGTTATAATCTTTTTTTTTTCCTTTTAAACAAGGACAAATGAGACCAGCAATGTGAACTGTATTTACATAAATGTGCAAGGCACATACATAATGACTTTTTTTTCCTTAAAGTAAGTATCACACACACACAAAAAAGTATCAGAAGAATGATACCATTTTTAAAGGCTTCACTCCTACAACAACCAAGGCCCTTGGTTATTGGTTTGTGTGATTTATCAGCTAATTTAGGTAGAACAGGGAAGCACACCCAAAGAATTTTCAAAGGAAAGGGTGTTATAGTGCAATAGCAACTAAAATATATCAAATCGCACTGACTATTCAACACCAGAGCTCTAATGTGGGAAATGGTTCTCCTTTCCCTCTCAATAAATATCTATTTTTCATTTTTTTACTTTGTAGTTTATTTTTTAGTGAATGTATTTAATTTTATGAATTATTTATGATTAAACCACATCCAGAATCTTCGTTTTCTGTGAAAAGGAAGAACTAGAAAATTGCTTTAAATCTTGAAAATACAACAAGGAATGTTTTAAAATATAAAACAAAGCCAAGTTAAACTGTTTACACTGATGTGCTATAAAAGCACCAAAAATAAACTTTACTGTAGAGTTACAAGTACATTTATATATATATATGTTGCTGCATCACTTGTGTAGTTAAATTGTATTTCAAGACAGTGAAGAAAAATTGACCTGTATATACTGTTCATTATTGTTTATATTAAGTCTTGTTTTAAATATGTATTATGTGTATATATTGTTTGCAGACATTATTGTTTATGCCTTAGAAGGATTGTAGCATTTTATTTTAGTCCGAAGGTAATTATAGCTATACAGCTTGTACAGTAATCCTCTACCAACACTGTGGCGTCTCCTTGATCTTGGTAGTGCCTGCCTTTGAAACAGGGTGTAGGGGATATTAGTTTTCCATTTTTCTATTTTGTTATATAATTTTAAGCCACCAGGGCCTAAATTAAAGTATAATCATTTGTATCCATGTGGAATAAAATTGTGACAATTTCCTACACACACAGTATTTTTTCATAGAAACATTTTCCTCCCATTTGCCTTGCCTCAGAAATAAATTTAAAAGACATTTGTAACCACTGTGTTTTATCTACTGTGTGTTGTGGTGGCCTGTTGGAGGCAAATAGATCAGATTTTTTTTTGTACCTATGTAAGAGTACTTGAAGTTTTATTTAAAATAAAATGTTGTGGAAAAGGTAGCATTCTTTTTTTTAGGAGTGTTATTTTTCACTGCTATGTGTGGCACGGATACAATAAAAGACTTTTACAAACTAGTTTTTTTTTTTTTTTTTTTTTAGTTTTTTTTTAGTGTTTTTCCTAATGAACCTAAAAATTTAAATTTGATTTTTACAGAATCATAAAGGAGCAGCAGCAGAGTGTGGTTCAGAGAACCTTGGCCTGGGTGAAAGGGGGTGGTTTTAAATAAAGTGATGTGACTTTCATGAGTCTCTGAACCTCTCTGGACCACGTTTTATTGTTTATTTCACATTTGCAATATGACAATATTAAACTACATTTTTAAGGTCTTGTTTTGATAGGAGAAATGTCTCTATTGGTAGACATGGAACACATTGATCAATATGAAAAATTGATCATATAAATTAGTCTGAGTCATGAGCTACAAAGTCAAGTATTCATGAAATGTGAGGTGATGCCTTGCTGGGCTCTGAGGAATCACTGGTGAGCACGACAGGCGCAGGCCCTATCTTTGTGGAGCTTACACCCTACTGGAGAAGTGGTCCTTTAGATAATGTCCTTAGAAAATGGCTTTTAATAGTGAAGGAGAATAGAAAAGTTTTGAAGAAAATATCCCTAACTTTAAAATGCTTCAAAACCACAGAATATTTTCCTAAAGCCCTAGGTTTTTTGAAGACTTACAGGAAAATCAGCTGTTATTATGTAAATATGTCAGTTTCTGTTAACCAAATATTGCAGTGATGCCTTAAGGGGCTGGTGCTTAATCAAAAATACCACGTGGAGCAGGGAACAAGGTGGTGCTGTGAATCAAGTATGTGGTTTTTGTGTTGATAGAACTGCCAGATGCTCCATGGGAGTTTTCTTCATGGGGGTTTTTGCCTTAGGGATGATACATGCTTATGTTAATTTATATTAGATGGTGGGTAAGTGACTTATTTGATAATAACATGTCTGGTTGTCTGAGGGGCTCATAATGAGAAATAAAATAAGCACACGCAAAAGAATAATTTTTCAAGAGTGATAATTTTCTTTTAAAAATAATCTTATTTTTATATCCTCGCAAAATTTTATATCCTTGAAAAAAGGAAAGGAAAGCTTGGTCAGTATTGGCTATTTTGGACTGATGTCTTCATTGTTGTTACTCAGCAGAAGTCGCTGTTCAAGAAGTAGTGGACATGATCCCAAAACGGTTGCAATTGGTTTCGGTTAACTCTTGCTACTATACATACAAAGGTCAGACAATTAAGTGAACTTGCTGCCCTGTAAGTGCAGTGGAAAGTTCGAGAACTTAATCGTCCAACCTTGTATGTGCTCATTTATTATGCAAATAACTTACACTCACAGTGCCCTATGTTGGGTATATCCTCAGTAAAACCAGTGTCATTGTTCTTCTCAAATATAAAAAATTTTCTGAACCCTCTGCTATCACACAATTACAAGTATACACAACATACTTTTATTAAGACAAATTAGGCTTTAACCTGAACCTTCATTTTAGTCCTGTTTGCTCTGTAAATTATAAAAAACTGGGCCTGCCCTCAAGTTGAGACTAGATTATCACTCAAGTAGTAACCAACCAAAGACAACCAAATAATCCATTACTATTAAAATAATCATCAGTTTGAAACAGTATGTAGAGAGTAAATTAACCTTTATTTAGTTGTTAACCATAGTGAAAATTAAACAAGTAAAAATCTGAGTCTACCTTGAACACTTACAAAAGAGCTAGATTACCATAAATGCAAGGTGATCTCTTTTTCTTGTTTTAACAACCAAAAATGAAATTTGTTAAAATCACTAATTTTAATCCAAATTTTAATAGATCTAATCTGTCCTTGCTACCTTATTGCACCCCTCTCTGTACTCCTTCTCTTTTCCATCCCCTCCATCCCTGATATCCTTTCAAGAAATTTAAAATCCTGTTCATTTAGTCTCTCATTAAACATATCCTCAACAAGAAAGTCAATCATTTACTTTTTATTGTAAATTTCATTTCTGGGCGCTCTCTAGCTCAAGGTTATTTGCATCCTAAATATCTCCCATTTGAGCAATGAAAGAGGTTTGTGTTTTGTTAAGATATTATTCCAACAAGATAAGGGAAGTATTTTAAGAGAATTGAAATTTCCCTTCCACAGGAATACGACATAAAAAACACAATACAAGAATACTAGTACAACCTTATCTACTAGAAATTTTGCTTCAATACAATCTCTTATGCCTGCTTGGGCCACCTTAAAAAAATTTATTTTAAAACCTCAACTACACAAAATTGAGATAATTTCTGTCCTCAACTATGTCACACTCTTGTTTCATGTGTTTTTACTTCTTCCTTCAGTTCCTCTTCAATTCTCTTCTCCTCATATACATTCATTTTTAATTATGTCTTTCCTGTCAACTTTTTAATTATTTAGCATATATATATATATTTAAATATATATATAGTGTTATATATATGTATAGTGTTTTTATGTATATACATATGTAGTAATATATATATATACACATATATATACACAGACACAGTGTGAACTTGTATTAGTTGCATTATACTCAATCTCATTCCGCTTTTTATTCTATTTGTTTCTTTAAAGTTGGAGAAAGAATAGGTAAATCTTGTGCATTACTTTTGATTATAGCAAGGTATTCCGTCACAGACATATCCCACATTTTACTTTCAAATTTCTTTAGGAATGGAAAACCTAAGTTGCCTGTGACTCCTTATCACTGCAAATAATAATGCATTGAATATTGTCATCCATATCCTTTACGGGCCCATGTGTGGAAGCCAATTTCCAAGAAGGCTCCAAATGATTCTTGCCCATGTATTCATGCCCTTGTAAAACCCCTTCCCAGATTGTAGCAGGGTCAGCCTGTGCGACTAACATACTACGGCAGGATGATAGTGTGTGAATTCCCGGACTAGGTTATAATAAAATCCATGCCGCTTCCACCTTGTTCTCTCTTGGGTCGCTTGTTCTGTCGGGGGCCACTGCAGCAGCTCTATGGGAAGCCAGCAGCTACCACCAACTAGCAAGCAATGTGACTGCAGCATCTTAGAAGTGGATCCTTCAACCCAAGTTAAACATTCAGATGACTTGAACCTCCACCGACATCTTGACTGCAATTTCACAAGAGACCCTGAGCCAAAACTGCCCAGCTAAGCCACTCATGAATTCTTGACCCACAGAAACTACGAGATGATAAATGTTAATTATTGTTTCAAGCCACTCGGTTTTGAGTAATTTGTTACACAACTGATAGACTGGTAAGAGTTTCTCTCAGATCTGTAGGGAGGGTCTGTGCTCTCCAGATGGCTGCACCAGTTTACACTCCTACCAGCAGTGGGAGAGGGTTCTTTTTTCCTACCTCCCAACCAGTGTTCAATATTGGTTTGGATTATTTTTCACTAACAATTTATTATAGATTTTGAATTTGAATACCATGTTTTAAAAAATATCGAGCTAATTCTCTAATCATGTTAGCAGCTTCAGCTTTGATTTACCTTTTTGTAGATTTTGTTTTATATAGATATTGTATCTAATCCTATCTGCTTTCTAGTGATGAAGGTATTATGTACAGGTTCCCAATGTCATGATACCTGAAAAAGAGACTGAATTACCTGCAAGAGCCAGGTGAGCATACAGTCAACACAATGAAAATGAGATGTATTTTGGGAGTGTTTTGTCCAGGTATTGGTGGGGGCAGGGGAACCAGCCCCCGCCCATAACACAGCAAAGCATAGTAGAGCCTCTATACCTGACAGCTTCTGGGGGTCTCAACTGGACCATGCACATAAAACATCACGTTTTGCTTCTCAGTGTCTCCTTTTGCTCCATTTCATGGTGCTTAGCCCCATTTTTTTTTTTTGTTCCTGAGAAACTGAAATCTCTCACATTTCTTATCACATCTTCTAGTTCTCCCTATTTAAAGTTCTATCCTGCTATCTGATTAGAATTCTGGATTTTTTCAAAGCTCATCATAAGTCATATGTGTATTGACATTCTCTTGTGCTATATGCATAGAGATTCTTGTCCACTGTGGATGGAAGTAATTGGCTTTTTCCTTCTTTCAAAATTTCCGTGAGCAGCTAGAATTCATATTCCCCCATAACTAGGTATTGCTGTTACAGGCTGTGTTATCTCCCATTCTCACCTGACAGTTTCTCAAGAGATTGTATCTTACGCATTTTTAAATACCCAAGATCTAGTATAATGTCTGCCATTAAAGGTACCCAATAAAACTTTGCCAATAAATCCTTCCAATCAAGGAAGATATTCAAAAGAGTGAGTCACACTCTTTGAAAGTAATGCTAAAATTGGGGTTCTAAATATATTGTAGGTAGCAGCTATGCTGGAAACAAAAGAACTTGATTTCCCAAAATGGTTGTTTTGGAAAGGATAGCTCTTATTGTATGTGTATTTGGACTATGACTCATGAATATGCAATCATTACTTTATAATCATATCTTGAAGCTCAGTAACATTCTAACAGAGTATAGCTCTTTCCTGGGACATATTGAAGAAGCTCCTGTCTATAATAAAGGGCCTAAGAGGCCCCAGGCAAATTCAATCAGTGAAAAAGAATGGTCATCTGATACAAAGTGGAATTTCTCTGTAATTCTCCACTTTGCTTCCCTCTGGTCTCTAACTGTGATCTAGTCCCTTTCAATAGGGACTCTAACTTTGATCTCATTTCCTTTCAAAGGGGAAAACATCTAGCATCAGGTAAAGTCATTAATGCCATTAAATCAGACTTCTATCTTTCCATTTTCCTGGGCAAATGTTCGAATTGTGTTTCTTATACCCCTTGTGGTTGAGTGGGGCCATTTGACAAGCTGGTTCTGGCTAAAGAGATCCGAATGCAAGTATCATCTTGCTGGCCAAGCATTTAATTTCTCTCTTTCCCCTCTGACACAGCAGCTAATCATGTTCAAAATAAATTATGATCTGTTAGCCTAGGTCCTGAACAGAACTCCCTACTAATTCACAATGGACATATAGCATAAGCAAGAAATGATCCTTTCTTGTTATAAGTCACTGAGATATTGGGGTTCACTGTAACTACACCATATCCTAGGCTATCCTGATACAGAATAGCTATAAACCATTGGATTAGAAGGGAAGGAAAGTAGGCCCAGCAGGGCTCAACATCCCACCTCTCTATATCCTGTCACTTAAGAAGGGGTCCTAGAAAAGAACTAGAATGCACCATAGAGGAAAGTATGATAAAAGATTAAGAGGATCTT